ATCATAGTTATTTGTTTTGTTCCAACATGAACGCCAGAAAACCGTCAAGTTGCGCGGACCACCTGCGGACTACGTTCAGTGCGTCTTCAAGTTCAAACGGCCGCCTGATCGTTCGAACTGTCGTCTGCTCTTTCAAACGTTTCTGCTTGTCGTCTGCTCTCTTAGACGACGCCGGCCCGTAGACCGAATGTTGTTCCGGTACTTGCGATAAGAAGTAAGTGCAGGCCTCAAAAAAATTAAATTTGAAGGTTGGTAAGCAGGCTCGGTGTGAACAGTAGTTACAAGGAGATGTTGATCATTGTTACCAGTGACCATCCCCGACTTGTTATCCCTAATTCACTTGGTCCGATCCTGCTTACGATTTTCAGTATTGACGTCGACCATCTCAGCTACGGCTCACGCTTTTGCAGCCCAAGCGGCGTCGCGACTGAATATTGCGAGCGAAATCGCATCATGCGAATCAGGCTTTAGCATACATACTGTGGCGTCTACGAGGAATGAATCGCCACATGTCACATTATTCACGCGAAGTTTCGCGGTGTAACGAGCCTCGGCAATTTCGCTGACACGCTCGAGTAGTCAGACATCGCCAGGAACACGTAAAATCAACAATTCGAACGAGAAAAAGGGCAGGGGGACCTACACCGACACCGACAACATCGCATTCCAATGGTTTGTTTATGGGCTACGGCGAGCTTCTTGCCTACACCCCCATCGCGCATCCGCGGCGCCGGTGGCGTCCGCTAGGGGCGCTCCGGTTTGTTTGTAAACATGAGTTGGTGTAAACTCGTTTCCACGCTGAGGGTTGGGCAACCGACACTACGCTCCGATGGAGCCAATCAAGCAGCGCCAAAAGTGCATCTTCACGGCGTTCGTCGTTTTTGTGCGCTTGCTGTAGAGCAAGAAAGTGTTCCCAAATGCATATTTGACAAATCGAAACGCAAGGAGATGCACTCCAAATCAAGAGCAACATAAAGAGCGTGGAACACGCGACGCCGTGATTGTTCGAGGTCTGGGGAAACGAAAGCTCACGGATTCATTTGGGGGGTAAACAGACGCAAGACTACGACATGCGCAAGGAGCAGAAGAACTAGAACGCCAAATACCAATCATGAACAGTGAATGTGCCGGCATCCTTCGCAATCTTTTGTGTTCATTCATGTAGTCAATGATAGCAGAATCACAAAAAGACGTTGCTTGATTGAAGGGGTACGTAAACGAAATTACAGCGCTCATTTTCTAGCATAAATATGTTGCATGTTGCAGCAGAACCTCAAAATCACCAGTCTTTCGTTGAAAGGCAGAATGAAGCTAAATTTAAAGCTAAATAAACTATGCTCTAATGTGCACCTGGTGGATGCCTGTGAAGCTTGGTTGGGAGGTAATCTAGCAACATCGGGAATCCCGCTCCGTAGGCCATGGCGTAGCAAGAACCGTTTCGTAGCCGCACTACACATCGGAGCAGTGACGCTCTTTGGTAGTACGCTGAAGTGTTTAAAGCGGTCATGAAACAATTTTTCGACATTTTCCTTCTTAGCTTTCCTGCTCAACTCACAAATCACGAATTGTGCCAAACACTTCAAGAAGAGGGCAAAGAGGGACTCCCCTCCTGCTTGAATCCTGGCATCTGTAGCCCGACACCGCTATTCTCCCCGTAGAAGATGAGCCCGTCGCTCAAAACTCGGACAAAAGTTCCCCGTTCACCCCTAAGCTAACGCTGCTGTGGAAGCTTGGTGCTCGTTGGGCTCGCCACAATTTTGCCACGTGATAACGTTCCCTTGGGCACACCCACGCGGAAAAAATAAGGTCAGGTGATGGATGGGAGGCGGCTGATTGGTCCGGCAAGCGGATAGCTTCCACCGCACTATCAGCTTGGGGGTGGGGAGACAAGTGAGTTGCGGTGTCTTGTGGCTTGCGTGTGGGCCTGGTGACGAACTTTGGGTACCGCGTATGTATCACAGTGAAAAAGTAGAGAGCTTTGGAGCCCCATCTAAATTAATTTTTCCAGCCCAAAATTCTTTTCATGACATCTTTAATTTGAGCGTTCTTCCAATCCCATTTCCGAATTGAATACAGAGGGGGCGATGTCGGTGTCTTCATGCTCAGTTAAGTCGTTCAAGTTTGATTTCCCGTGGAAATCGTCCGTTTTATTACCGAGTGGAATTCACTCCCCGATAGCATCGTAACAATAGAACCCTGCACCCTCCGAGCCGCACTTGTCGCTCTTCACAACATGTGATCGAACCTAAACCGTTTTCATATGTTTTTTGCGAGTTTTGATATGTACTGATATTTGTCCCCCTGATGTAAAGTCTTTAAAGAGCATAAGGGTACAACAAAATGATATGAAACGAAGAGCGTGATCATTGAACATGATCATTGGACTTTCTTTTCAGCTAAGCAGAACGTGTCTCCTACGAACAGTCATGACCCCCGGCGGTTGGATCCAAGACGTAGGATGCATTGTTATTAGTTGGCAAACACAAAGCACGTCTTCCCCCCCCCCCCCCCCTCAAAAAAAAGAACAAAACATATATATATATATATATCTTTTTTTTTAAATTTACGTACGCTTTGATTCAAGTATAACAAAAAAAATGAAAAAAGTGCGGTGTACTGCGGGTAGTCCGGCAAAAACATCTGACGTACCAACGATTGTCACAATCCTCGTAGGGGTAATGAACAAATGTTTTTCTCCCACCTGCACTGCGATCTATTGCTACACAATATTTTACTCTTGCGACAAGCGTGGGTAACAATGCTCGTCAACAGCACTGGAGGTGCGTGGACAGAATAAAACAAAATTAGAATTACCCCTTCCCACTTCAGCGAATTGCTATATAATCCCATGCTAAGCTTCGTAACGACATCTTCAGCATCTAGCGTTCAAGATGAAGGCAACCCTTGCAGTCACCTGCTTTTTCTCGGCCATCCTGCTCATTTCTGCACTCACTGGTGAGTCTGCCTTCTTCAAGTGTCTATTTTGTATTTCTAACGCTTCCAAGTTCCTCCGACCAACCCCGATTAGCATCCCCATTGCTAAATAATAGAAGATAAAGTTTTTATCAAACAATTTAAGACAACTATTTATTTTTAATCGCTTTAAGGTAAATGCTGACTTGTGCGTATAGTAGTACGCATCTCACGACCCATCTAAAGTCAATTTACTGGTCTTCTGATCGCAATATCGCGTAGTATAATATAACGCATAGAACCATAGATAGAGACTTGAACTTCCATGTACGTACACTAGCCGATTCTTTACTTTAAGAAATACCTGGGCGTCTAATCACCCGCAAAACACTCAAAGAGCCAATATCTGTGATCTACGAAATAAGCTCAGCGAATGTTGAGCCGGAACATGTGCTTATACGTCAAAATTAAGTCTGGGCTGTGCCATTACGCAACACAAGCATGGCGCTTTGCACTGCGTAGTGCCACAGCGCAGACTTCATTTTCAGGTCTAAACGGATGTTCCATATCATCATTCGCTCAGCTGATTTCGTAGATCGCAGAGATTGGCTCTTCAAGTGATTAGCGGGTAAGTACACGCACCGGCAATTCGTAGAGTGTTCGATCAGACTTCGACACCAAATGGTAACGAGAAATGCATTTTTTTATAAGACAACATTACTAACGTGTGAATGGCTCGCCATAAAATGACTTTTCTTGCGTTTTTAATTAGCGCAAAAGGAAGAGTTACTTTAATGATATTTTTGGTACGGCTGAGCAGTAATTCATCAGAACACGAAGAAATATCAAGGGAAGACTGTTTATTTAAAAACAAAAATTGTGGTTGAATACTACTTATTCCTAATATAAGATGAAAATAGGATTTTGTTTAATTTCACTGCGACATAATGTTTAAGCTTTCAAGGCTTAAAGGGATGATGAACCGAAATTTGGATTTCAGAAAAAACAATGCAGGAGATGTAGGCGGTACGCTACAGTCCCTACAACACTACTAGTAAGGCGATATCTCAAATGGACGGCCGTATTTTTTATAAAAGAGGTCGAGATTGAACCAGGCCGACGAGGCGCGTGACCGTCAAGATACCTAGTTTCCTCCTCTCTTCGCTTCGCTCCCTCAAGGCGGCGAGGCGGAGAAGACGCGGGGCCGTTCCGTCTCCTTCTCGGGGAAACATGACGTTATGTATTTCTGTCAAATGTGCCTCCTTTTCTTGAAAAATACGCTCATTCGTTCGAGATATTGCTCTATGAGTGATACTTTGGTGTTTGTAGCATCCCGTTACACGCTTTTACCGCGTGTTTTGTGGAGTCCAGATTTCGGTTCAGCATCCCTTCAACACTCTTTTCTTGTCTTAAAGATATCGCCTCTCAGTTAGACGTACAGTGTGCTCAACTGTTAAACATAACGCGGGAGCGGTGGCCGAAGCTGATACCAGAGCTGTCTATCGATTAAATCAATGATGCGGCAGAGAATAAGCCGGCTCTTCTTGGGATTGTCGCCAGTCCCCAATACAATTACCGCACGACCTCCTCGTTCCTTTCTTTATCACCCACGCTTTAAATTTTTACTTGTTTTTTTTTCAGTCTGTTTAGTCACATCTATGCATTTACCATGCCGGGCTACCATATCTCGGTGATCTTCCAGTTTCTCTAATAAAGGCCACCTTCTTTAAACAACAAAAACAATCAAAAAGCGATTTTTTTTTATCGCCGAGTCACGCATCGGTGATTGTTTCGGAGCTGGGAGTGTAACTCCAGAAAACAACAGCGGCATAAGCTTCCAGAGTGAGCCGGTAGCTGGCGCATGCAGTCTCTCCCGCCACCGCTCCCGCGTTATGTTTAACAGTTGAGTACACTGTACGCCAAGTAGCCTACACCTCTGGTTATGGCTTGTCGATCACACGAGACGACAAAGGGGAATTTGCGTAGCAGTAGCTATGACAGTTTCTGATTGTGCGATATTAGCAAATTCATGAACCTGTCATATTAAACATTAACTATTCCTGCAGAAAAGGAGTGTCGAGCACCACATGCTACGCCATCCTGCGCTACCGGTCTTACTCCGCAAACTACGTATTACTTCAACAACCGCACTGACCAATGTGAACCAGAGTGGGGTTGTGCAGGTGGAATAACAGACTTCACGACCTTAGAGGAATGCAGCACAAAATGTCCCTACGGTGAGTTTCGCGTGTGTTCTAATTTGTATTCTGTAACTTTGTGCTTTAACAGCAATTACCCTGTGAACTCCCGCTTTATATGGAGAATTCTGAGAAAATGCATGCCCCAATATACGCGGTGCTTACCCAGATTTTGAACGCAGCTTGACCAAAGAAATAGAAATGTTTGCAATATTCTCTTACATTTCGGACGATACAAAACGGCGGTTCAAGTGGTCGTACCCCTGTTGATACCAAGCGACCAAGACTGGTGACGAGGCCATACTAAACATAAAGGTCATGTGATGTGTCGTCGTAAGGCCCGAAGTGACTTCTTTGCTTTTTTTTTTTCATTAGAAAAGCTGCGGCGCAGGTATCGTATAGAATCAAATGTAATATAAACCTGAGAGTCCCCATGTATCGAGGTTTACAACCAAGGCCCTGAATATGGCTACAGCCGGTGAGAAACAGTTTGGTGTTAGTCTCCTACGGTGGCAACTAGTTCAAAAAGGAATACACCACCGTAGACGACAAAATTAAATCTCCTCCTGAAAGGAGGAGATTCGTCTTTTTCGCACAGCCGTTTTACAGCTCTCTCTCCTGCGGGATGTTGAATTTACCTTTACCCGTCCATCATCCGCACGAGCCGATCACCAAGTTTGAGACGTTCCAATCAAACACACGGAACTAGAAAATCACGGTCAGCTTGTAGACGGAACAACAGCATAAAATTAACACAACAATAAGAGCAGCGTTGGACACAGTTGCCAACGCGTCCGCCCTCCCTTTCACGATGGACGAACTGGAGCGACTTTTTCTTCGCTTTAATCGACTGCAGCGACACCGGACGCTGTCTATACGAGTGGCCGCGAGCCCCCGTTGCAGAGATGCACCGGTATTCAAGCATACTGTAATATAAGCTCGTCGCTGCTTCCGTAATTGCGTCTTTTTTTTTTTTTTTTTTTATAAATCCGGGAATTGCCTACATATTCAAGAATAAAACGTGATTTATGTGGATGTCTGCTTGTGTATGCTTGCAGGAAATCACGCATCGTCAGGCTGATCTGCCAGCAGCTGGTAAGTTAGTCAAATTAACCAGTGTCTTGCAGAAAACTGTAACCCCTTGGCAACACTAGCAACCATGTCAGCCAATGTTTCCATTTTTATTCTCAGTTAATATTTAAAAAAAAGGAAGCCTATGTTTCTAGCAAGTAAATTTTCGGGATGTTTACGCAGACAGATGTCGTTCAACATTTGCATTTGAAGGCTCTCTTCTCTAATGAACCCCCTTCAAATACGCGCGGTGTCAAATAGTTGCTGCGCCAGTTACCCGAGTCCGCCATGGTTTGGGCAAGTGCCCTGAGCCGATATCCGACACTAAGGCTGCGCTTTAGGGTGAATTCAGCTCGTATCGAAATCCAGGTCTGGGTCAGCGTTTGTCGAAGCCACGGATCTAACCATACGCTTTCTGCCCCAAAAATGGGGACCGCCAGTGTTGCCTGATTGGATCCTAAAAAGGGTTCATTATATGGAGAGGATATTTGGTTCGGACATAAGTACTTACTTATATGACACATTTTGTTAATGCAATAGTCAAAAAGATATATGGCTAAGAGTACCAGAGCGCACTTAGAAATAAAACGCTAGTTACCTAAGATTAAATTAATCAATTATTGCTTTCACTGAAACCGTAACCAAATGATCTGAACTATGATTTCATAGAACGTGGTCTTTAATGCACCAGCCGAAACACTGCAGCGCAAACTCGTGAGTCCTTTGTTTAATTGAAACCACAGCACAACCCCCGAGTTGTAATAAAGCACGTATTCAGCATTGCACTAGGTATGCTGAGCATAAATACCAATTGTTATTTACAAGCCTTACCCCAGAACAGTAACCCAAGACTTGTTGCGTACACATTCCGTCATAGCGAAGGTGGCATATATCACTTGAAGAGTATCAAAAGCGTAACCGGAATATACTAGTGTTTTGAGTAAAGATATTTTCCTCGCAGTACCAGTGTGAATACTTTTCACGCGTCAAATTTAGCTATATATTTTCTGTCGTTGAACATGTTTATTGTGAGGTGCGCTTACTATTCGCAGTGAAGACAACCTTCATGAAAACACGGACGGTAGGCGTTTACGTCTACACCATCTGTGCAATTTTCGATTAAAGGGAGTGCGAGTAAATCGAACAGTTCTCGCGGACAAGTCGTCTTGAGTTTTAATGAATATTTACCTTTCAGGCAGAGAGCAAGCGCCCACATCTGGAGACGATGCCAGCTGTTTCGGTATTGAAGACTTAATTCCGGCAAGGCGCTTAGGCTAGATAAAGTCATGCAATAAAAAATACAAACATTCTTACTCTTTCATTTTGTCCCATTATAACCTTAGATGCGAAAGCACTCTGAAATACGGGAATGATTATTTGACGGTTGTTGCCCTTACAAGACAACGTCACACAAAGCCGTTGGTTAAATCATACCTCTAATTGGTTGAAGCTACGTCAAAAAAAAAAGAAACAGAATAACACACACGGTGCTATGGCTCGTGGCACGTTATTATTCACTCTAGAAAGTATATATGAGAACGAACTACTGTAATATTTAGAAGGGGCATCTAAAGGCCGTATATAAGTTGTATTCTCGTGTGGAAGTGAAGCCCTGGTCTGCCGTGGAAACCAAAACATTTGGTGATCGTGTCGAGGTAGCGACTAGAATTAGAAGAAGAAGCAACTTCTGAAGTTTCACATATATTCAGTGTAACACTAATTTAAACGCAAACACAAATATCGAATTATGTACTTCTCCACACTGCGACAGAGTTTTCAAAATCAGAGCGGAGTGTGGTTTATATATATATAAACATATTTGAAATTCCCCCTTATACAGCTTAAGGTCGGTCGTCCTTCGAGATCCGGCGAGGCTGTCTTACGCTGTAGATGAGAAGCATAAGCATTGCAGTAGCCTTACTAGCTCCGGTCCTTTAGCGCGGCCCACAAATAACTGGGGATTTTCAGTATACCGTTTCCGCAGCCCCTAAAGCACCCTCCTAGCGCTCCGTAATCCACCACAAGACCTTGAGATATGCAAACAAGGCTAGCTGCTCGCATGCGCAGCCAGCGTTGTTTGCATATCTCAAGGTCTTGTGGTGGATTACGTTTGTTATTTGCTTGCGGACACCAGTGCGATGCTCATCCCGAACGGCACGGGCTGGGTGGGGGCGGGGACTCAGGATAGCTGTGTCCGGCAGCGCGAGCTTCCGCTTCACGCGCTCCGAGTTGCGGAGCCCTAACACACTCAGCCACCGGTCCTCTGAGCGTATTGTATAGAATTCGTCATATGTAACTAAGTTCCTCAGCAACTCCAATAAAATATTTTGAATTACGTGTCACACACGAGTAAGTATGACTGTTGAGCCAGGTGATGCTGAATCTTTGAAAATATGGTTGCAAGGAGGGACACGGAAATGAGGGCATAACAGACAAAACAATGCATACGCTTCAGAGTACGCAATTCCCTGGAGTTTTCGAGGATGAAGTATTTGAAGTTAGCGTATTGTGTTGTCTTTTCTTCTCCCTTGTTCATGTCCATAAGCCCAAGCAGGTTTTCAAAGATTCACTCATAAAGCCTAATGGCTCAGTCTTGGCGATCGAGTCTTCGCACCCTGATGACGTGGAACTCCGGAAACGGCACTGCGCACGATCCTTTTTTCTGTCCTTCCTGAAGATCTTTTCGGGGGTAGCGCGGAACCGACTTTTGCCGTTATTGTTTCAGAAGTCCGTAGTTCATGACACCGCACCTCTTGAAGGTGTAGGTAAATGAAAAAAATCTAGCGGTATACTTACCTCCCATCTTCAACATAAGTATCATGTTGAAGGCCTCTACCTGAAAGCCTCGCGGATTCTTGGTCTTTGAACGTCATAATTTGAAGCTTCAACTACAATTCAGTAAAGATACAATATATTTTTCACGCGTTCGCTCCATTCTTGAATACGCTTGCCTCAGTTTGGTTAATTACACTTCATTTTCTACACTGAAACTTGAAACTGTCAAGTTTTTTGAGGAATTTTTTTTTTTTGGAAATATGACTGACAACTAAGTATGACGCTGTGTAAACAGCTTCATCTGCCAATTATTAAGTAGTCGTAGGAACGTCGTGCGTCTGCAGTTCTCCTACAACATATATAGCGGAACGACCATATTTCGAGGAACAACAGTCAAAAGAAAATGTATAAAGGACTCTTTCAACATATCCGGCAGCTTTAACATGCACTTGTTATTTTGTTTAGAAACTGTGTGTGATTGGAAAGCATTTACTCGCACAGTCACCATCCCATAGAATGACGATATTTCATGCCCTAAATACATAATAATTCTTTTTTGTGTGTTAAACGTTTTACGTTGTTTTTTTTTTTCTATTGTAATGTCAGGTTGCGAAGTATCAGCACGAATAAATATCAATATCAACAATATTACGCTGCCGAAAAAAAAAAGAAAAAAAAAGAAAAAAAAAAAAAACGAGGTTGTCGTCACATGTGGGTGACTTTTTTTATTGGTTTTCTGGAGGCTTCGAGGCGATTGTTCCACACCTGTATTGAAAAGCCGGCGTCAGAAACACTTTAATTAGGTTATAAATATTGACCATATTTCGCGTTTTGCAAGTGCGCGACAGACTCGACATCATGCAACGTCAATGACACATTTTTGGATATCATATCTGTTACTTGAGGCGCAGCCCAGATAGCCCCTAGAAGGACCGTTGCGCTTCTCCGACTCAGCATTACTCAGTATTGTGACTGCTTACGGCCGCGCGTCAGTCAATCTTTCGTGACAGCTTAGAACAATAGAGCACGTTGGCACGCTTGCAGCATCAATCAGGTGGCCTTCTAACGATATTTCACAACAACAAAGGATTTTGCAGTGTTTAAAATATAAATAGTGCCTACTATGTATATGAATTGGTCGTAATAACACTGTCATAACTTCTTCAAGCTTGTTTTATATCCACTTATTCCTAGTAGGCTGGATCGTGGATCGGGAACATGTTGGTGGCATCAACGGCGCCATTGCTTGACAACAGTCAATACACGCAAGTCTACGGGAGAAACATACAGAAGTAGAAATTCTCATGATTCTACGTGGCGCTGGAATGCGAATATTTTAAAGTTTGCTAAGATCATTATACCGGGTGTTTGGAGATCGAAGCGGTATTTGTGTAGTGTTCAGACTCCGCTTTAAAAAAATCAATACGCCTGAGCACTACCGAATGTGCCCAGGTCGCTTGCTTCAATTGATAAATGAATGACAGGTTCATCAAATGAACGTCACGCTTCGAGTTTTAGTTCGTCACCGACGCCCTCACTTCAGTTCAAAGCAATTGCTCGCGTCAGAAACAGTTTGTAAAAACGCTTGAAACGATGCGATTTCCCCTTCTAGCTTAGCGCCTGCTAAACACTGATGACTTTGTGATCACGAACAACTCCACTTTGACCCTCGGCAACCCTTGTTTATATGAATCGGATCACAATTTACGTCTAGCAAAGTTGCAACCCTCGACCCTCTACCAAAAAATATTTTGTTGAAACCAGATTATTGTTTCAAGATTTTTGATATTTGTGCCAAGAATAATACCGACCATTCCCGGAAGGCACGTTAAAAGTTTCACTGTTGAGGGCACCCGACGAAGGTAAGAAACTGCAGTTTGCCTCGTTTCTTCCATAGGGTCGCTTGCATTAGCTGCTGTCAAGTGATGACTGCCGGTGGTGCCGCTCAGCCCCAGGAAGACAAGCCTCGACCCACTATTCAGTTATACTAAAATAAAGATGAGTGGGTGAATCAATTAATGCTATGCCAAAAGTTTAGGAAATATACGCAAATTACATATGGGTTTCTGGGTGTGTTGTCCCGTCGCAAGTGATCATGAGAAAGCACAAGGCTGCACAACGCATTCGGCGCACTTTCGCATACGCCCCTGTCACGAGGGAAAGGTCGGTCACCAGTTATCTGACCGAGAGGAACGTGTCTCTTTCTTAGGAAAACTAGTATGTGAACATTTGAAAGTAATCATTGGCGTAATGTGAAGAAAGAAACAAAGCTGAAACAATAGCCAAATTTGCGTCGAAGAGACTGGTT